ACACACACACACACACACACATACACACACATATACACGTACACACGTCATATATACACACAAACATTCATGCATGCACACACAGATATACGCATAGATGAAAATATTAATTAGGCATTGTACCTGTTTTCACTCAATATCATATTTTCCCCATTTAAATCGTACACAATGAAAATATTAAAAGTTCTTATACTTTTTCAAATTTTCAATTTTGACGCTTTTTGGACAAAATAGTAACAATTATTTATTCCAACAACAAATCACTCATTCAATCGCTGATACTTCCAATTAATGATAACATTTCAATAAGTAATGATAACTCCAATTATTGATAATATTCAGACATCCATTGATATCTTTGTATCGATGATTCCCAAATTACCATTCCAACTTTTTCAATATTTTAGAAAGTATCTCAATAATATCACTTAATTTTATGAAAATCAAAAGTGATATTATTGGAATAGAAAATATCTCAATAATATCACTTTTGATTTTCATAAAATTAAATTTAAAAATGCTTGTTGAAACTACTTTCTTAATACAAATATGGAAAGGAAACAAAAGAAAAGAATTTAAACATTATCTGTAAAAATTTTAATACAATGCTAATTTTTAATGTTATTTTGAGCAAAACTTTCAATTTTTCAATTTCAGAAAATAAAATTTTTTTTCATTCATTATTTATTTGTTGATATAAATAATTATTTATCCTTATCGATTTTTTCAATATTAATATCTTCTATGAAAGTTAGCAAATTTTTTAGATATTACCATTTCCGACAAAACTTAGCAAATTTTCTATCTTTTAGGTGTCATCACTTTCCAAGAAAGTTAACGATTTAGAAGAGGAACGGATGAGTTCAGGTGAGGAGAGGGCACGATTACGAGCTGATAATGCCGTACTTACCGAACGTGTACATATTTTGGAAGAGCAATTACAGGCTGCTGAACAGAGGTTTCGATAATTTCATTGATAATATAATAATTACTGACAGTATGATATTATAATGAATATACTTGTTTACATTCTTATGTTTAAATTCAAAATCTAGACTAAAATAATTAAAATGGAAAAAAAGTTTTGGCTTGCAAAAAAAGAAAGAAATAAAAAAGAAAATTTTAACAATTTCAATTCATTCTTTACGATCTCATTTCTCATTTTCAATTTTTTCAATATATTATTAGTTCAATCCTTTTAAATTTTAAACGTTTTACCCTCTTTTTTTTCTTTCATTCTCTTTTCCTCTCTTTCTCTTTTTCTCTCTTCCTCTCGTTTTATTTTCTCTCCTCCTCGTATGAATAAATAGTATTTTTAACAAATGATGAAAAAGGAAAAAAAAATGGTATTTTTATGGATTGGTTTAGTTTCAATGAAGGAGCCAACTCTTTACATTAAAGTTTGTGGGGAATTTTGAAAGTTTCTACGCTTTTTTAACTTGCCATTATATGAGGAATTTTGCTTAAATTGAAATAAATTACAGTAAAATTTAAAATTTAAATCAATTAATAAAATTCCTTTTCAAAGAATTTTTTCTAAATATTATGAAAAATTTTACATTTATTACCGATTGCTTAATCAAAATTGCGATCTTTTTTTTTGTGTATTTGTTTAATTTCTTAAAAAAAAGATGAAATATGAAGGTAAAATGTGGTTGAAATATTGATCCTTTCAGTTAAATTAAAAAGCATTTAATCTTTTTTTTTTGATTTATATTTTTCATTTAAGGGTTCATCGAAAAAAGAAAAGTAATATAAACGAATTTCCATAAATTATTTTTTTTTATCAAAAATTTTTCATTTATTTTCCTCCATCTACAAAAAGTATGGATTAAGCAAAAAAAGAGATGCATTCGTTTTTTGATAGCAAAGAAAAATTTTCATTCATACTTCAAAAAAATTTTGTTAATTTTTTTTAAAACAGAACTAAACTTATCAATTTTCAGTCATTTTATGTCTTTCATTTATAGGTGGAAGGAAAAACTGATGGAAGAAAAAAGTCGAAATCGAGATATTATATCAAGGATGGAACGTGAAAAGCAATTAGAAATAGAAAGTGCCGCTTTAAAATATCAGGTTGCTTCCCTTTTCTTTTTTCTGATATTTTTAATTTTATAAAATGAAACGTTTATCATTATCAAATAATAGACTCCAATGATAATTTAACACTTATCACATTAACCAGATTCTTTAAATTCATCAATTAATGCTCATCATCCTATCGTTTTGCTTAATTAATATTCCATTGTCATTAATTTTTTGCGTCAATGATGTGAGAATAAAATAAATAAGAAAATATTCAAAGTACTATTAAACATCATTCATTCTTTGAGTTTTCTACTTTTTTTTTTAAATTTTCGTTGTTAAGCATATGTTTAAAATATGCAAATGATATTATATTGTATTGAATGATATTATGATATTATATTATCATTGTGCATTTTAGCTATCATCAATTAAATTTACATAATGAAATTTTAATTGACAGTGGAAGTTAAGTGTTTGATAATTTTAAAAGTTGTGACGCAATGATAATTTGTTTTCAATGATGATTGTGACAATTGGTAGGAAAGTAAAGTAATGATAGTTTTTAATTGCATTTTAAAGTGAAGTGGCTGGTAATTCTTGCAATTATTAATAAAGTTAAAAACAATATTGTCAGAAATTTAAAAGTGAAGTAATTTCAAAAATTGCTAGAAGAAAAGTGAGGTTTGATAATTTTAATAATTACTCGATAGTTTTAATCGTGTACTAGAAAATAAAATGAAAAAAATTTTAATAGGTGCTAGAAAAGGATTGTGCTGGAATGAGGAAAGAGAAAGATAAAATGCAAAATGATATGCTTCATTTGCAACTTAGTCTGGAAAGTGCAAGGGATCAATTGATTGAAGCAAACGCAATGTGTGAAACATTAGAAGAAGCACGAATTAAAATTGAAAGAGATTTCAAAAGGTTAACATTGAAAGTTTTATTAATTTAATTTAATTTTTTAATATGCAATTCTCAAATATATTATCCATAAATTTAATAAAAATTATCATAAACTAGCATGTACTATTAGCTGTTATTGATAACTTTTATTGATTAAAATAAAATATTTAAACTCGAAAAAAGATAACAAGCTAGCTTTGTTATTGAAAATTGAATAATCAGAATCGAAAAATCAGAATATAATTTGGATAAAATGTAATAAATTTACTTTTTACAAATTCAAAGTATAATAAATTTATAAATGATTGTTTCAGATTATTCAATTTTTAATTGATATCACTTGTAAATATAAAAAAAATACACGATTATAAGTGAAATAATTTTAATTTTCATTGCCATTTTTTTTAACATTTAATTATTGTATTAATTAAAAACAGGTTTCGCGAAGAAGCACAACAAGACATCGATAGTAGTTCAGAGTTAGTAGAAGAACTTTCGCGACAAACGGATGAATTAAGACGACAAAAAAATGAAACTTTGCCAAGAGCATCAATTACTGAACAGGTAAATATTCAAATTTTATTGTAATTTTTTTCGACAATTTTTGGTGTAATATTTGTTTTCATTTTTGCCTATTTGTCTTTTAATTTTCTGCTATTATTATTTTTTGTTTATTTCTTTTTTTTCCTTATGCATTATAAAATAATATCATAGACATTAATGACATTAATGAATTGATGTTATTAGTAAAAAACAAAAATAAATTATGGTACTATATTATATTTGAATGTTTCTTTTTAATTTTTATATTTACATTTAAATTGTATGAATTGATTATTTAAATAAAAAGCATTATTTGAATAATCCATTTGTACAATTCATACAAATAATTCATAATGGAATTTTCTCTAAAGTATTTTCAAATAGTTTTAAATTTTATCGAGAAAAGCAGAAAATTCTTCCTTAAGAAATTTGCAATTGAACTTTCTCCATTTATTATTGTCTTTCTCCCATACTTTTTTAGATAATATCGCTGGAAAATGAAATGAATCGTTATCGGAAAGAGAACAAAGAGTTAAAACGACAAAATGAAGATTTACAAGCACAATTAATTCATGATTCCATTGAAGCTGGTCAAAATTTGCTCAAAAATTTTGACGATGATCCGAGGCCATCATTAGCGGAAGAATTAAGCGGCAAAGATTCCACCGAGGTTACCTGTTCATTACCTTTTTTTTTGCATATTTTCAAAACAAATTAAATGAAATTTGATAAAAATTTCAAGCAATTATACTTATTAATTGGAATTAAAAGCGAAAATAATGCATAATGCATAATTTTAGCTAATGAATGCATTAAAAGAGCAAGAAGTGTGCAATCAAAAATTACGAAATTATATTAATGGTATATTAATGCGGGTTATCGAATTACATCCTGAAATTTTGGAAATTAAAGAGAAAGATGAGAAGGAATTGTCAGATAG